TTTGTTAAGATCTTCTATTTCTTCCTGGTTCAGTTTTGGAAAGTTATACTTCTCTAAGAACTTGTCCATTTCTTCCAAGTTGTCCATTTTATTGGCATAGAGCTGCTGGTAGTAGTCTCTTATGATCCTTTGTATTTCAGTGTTGTCTGTTGTGATCTCAAAGCCCTTGAAACTTGAGGTGCAGTTTCTATATAGCATTATTAAGTTAAATTTTATTTGGTTTATGTCATTATTCACATTACAGAATAACAAAAGATGAGTTCACCGTAAGATTCCTTTAATAAGATTCATTAATACATGTAAATTTGGTAAAATGATTTGATTTACTAAATTTAAAATTTAATATATATATAGATGTAATTTATATATAGTTCTTTGTACTTTTTTCCCCTCCTCTCCCCCCCTTTTTCTTTCTCTCTTTTAAGTCTTATCTTAGGATTCTAGTAATCATAGATTTGCTTTAAAAAAATATGTTTTATTGCTTCATCTGAATATTACTGTTCTTAGTGTGAAAATTATCGAGTTTTAGAACTGGAAGGATCTGTATCCCTTAGCTTAGATCTGTATTTTAAGGGTTAAATTATTGAATTACTAAAAGGTGATGAACTTACCCAATGTAATGTTGCTCCAGTGAATAAGCTAGTACTATATGTATTTGCAGTTCTCTCTGTACCATTAAATTGTGATATAACTTGAGGGGGATAAAAGGATAGATTTGGTTGATATTATCTTAATAAAAATTGTTAATTTTAATATATTGTTATGCTTAAACTATTTTATTCTAACAGGAAGGGTCTTAGACCTATTCCAGAAGCAGAAATTGGATTAGCAGTTATTTTTGTTACTACAGAGAATTACTGTGATCCACAGGGCCAACCCAATACAGGTAATTAAAATATTATTTTATTGATTCTTCAGCAACTTTGTTATATAAATGGACGATAAGCTGTATGAGCATTATACTTGCCGGGGTGACCACTTTCACCATCTTTTAAAGGTCATATGTTTATCCATTCATTTATTCATTCAGTGAATATTTGTGGCTACTAAGTACTTGGCACTGTTTAGTCCTGAAGGAACAGTGGTGAATAAAGGAGACAAGATGCCTGTCACTGTGAACTTTATATGCTAGAAGTTGGGCTTCAGACAGTTAATAAGCATACACATCTGGTAAGCTCTGTTAAGGCCAAGTACAAAGAGAAAGCTGAAACAAGGTCACATGATAGTGACTGGGAGGCTCTTCTAGATTCGTAGTCACGTATGGTCTCATTTAGTATCATGTCATGTTTGAGCACCTCATGTCCTGAAGTGATGGGGAAGGTCAGCAGTGGAAGGATCTCGATAGCAGAATTCCTATCACAATCACATCTGTGTTGAGAATGGATTCTAAAGGCCCCAAATGGAAGTGGGGACATGGGTAGAAGCTCTTGTGGAGGTCCAGTTGAGAGAAGCCTGGTGCCTTGGACCAAGGTGGGTAGCACAGTAGAGAGCAGAAAAACAAACGGAGGCCAGGTTTTGGAGCTGGACCCAGCAGGTTGCCTGTGTAGGATTTAGAAACAACTTCTTATCTTTTGGCATGAGTAACTGGTTGGATGATGGTGCCATCTATGGAGATGAAGAATACATATTATAATCATCTCCATGTTGACTATTACAAAAGCCATTTTACGCAAAGCAACTATTACCCTTTTTTTAAAAAAAACACAATGCCCCACTTTCTTAATAAGCTGATGTTGCCATTAAGAAGGTGGTTCATTCATTTTTTCCTTCTCGCTTCTTTACCTCAGATATTCTTAAATTTATTCTCCTTTCTAACTTTTCTTTGTCTAGCTATGAGTGCATCCATTCAGTATTTCTTTATACCTTTATTTGCATCCTAGGTTCTTTTTAATAGTTATTTGTCAGCAGTTACTGGACTTGAACCAAAAGGCAAGTTATGAAAACTACCTGATTATGCACTCCAGGCGGTGTCACAGGAGGTATCATTTATGCTGTAGCCCACTGAAATGGCACCTATGGAATTGGACAGTGTACCTTCTGATTGGTAATAATAGCTGCCGTCTCTTGAATTTGCAAAGATTGCAGTGCTTGACATATGGCATTACAATTTAATCTGCAAAACAATCCTTTTAAGACAGATGACATTTTTGCATTTTATAGGTGAGGAAACTGATGTACAGAGAGGTTAAGAAATTAGCCAGAGGTCACATAAGAAATAATTTAAACTGACTCTTTAAGTCAGAGCTGTTATGATATTATTCTACTGCTCTTGTGATTGATTGTGTGGGGGTTACTGGGAGCAGATATAAAAGGATAGACAGCTAGTCCTTAGATTTTATGATCTGGTGAGATGTTTATTCACCTGAAATCTCTACCCTTTTCCATGAGTGCACTGGATATACTTCTGTCTGTAAACAGTTAACCTTCAAATACAGTTTTAAGAGCTTGTGAAGTTTTCATTATAGTTGTGATATGGTGACTGTTTCCTCAAAATTCATGACTCAAATTCTCAGAATTTATCCTTAGAGTCAGAAGTAAAATATCACCTCTTCAGCCTCTCTTAGAAAACTACTTTGATGTAGATACCAAAAGTGAGCCATATTCTCGGAGAAGATGTCCACTGGGGAGCTCCCAACCCTTTAGAAATAGCATATACTGTAGATAGTATTTTGTTGACAGTGGATTTCTGTTCTGCTATAGAAAAAACAAAACCCTATGTATAATTTCAGATTTTAACAACACTACAAAAATTATGTAAAAATAAATAATCATTGAGTCTATGTGAGTGGCTCCCTTTCCCAGTACCTGTTCGGGACAACTGTCCTTTGTTTTTCTTTCAGAAAACTAGTTCTCAGATAGGTGCTTCAGAAATATTTTTTTAATGCAGATTTACATTCTCTATAATTCAGGATGTTGTGGGATGCAGCCAAGGCATCAGATTTTTTTGGTTTGTTTTGCTTGATTTTAACCTCCTGTTTATTATATAAACTCCCAAAAAACTAAGAAAGGACTGAGCTAGAGAGGAGGTACTCAGACCATAAACTTAAATCATTTTTTTACTCATCTAACACCTGAAATTCTCCTCTGTAGCTTCTGCTCAAGAGGCATGCTACCATCAAGACACTGCCCTGTTTGAACCCTCTGTATCTTTCTTTCCTGAGAGCTATTACAGTTGCCCCCAGTAAGAGTCGTGCCTCCATATTCATCTGTACAGTTAATTTTTCACTTTGCCATTAGAATCACCTTCCCATTTCCTACAAACTTGTACATGTTCTTATTATCTGTCAAATAAATCCTTAAGCCCTTTGTCTAGACTTTTGAGCTTTCAACAGTTTAGCTGTGGCCTATCTCTTCCTGTCCTCATCTCTTTTGTTTAGTATACTTCCCTAAAGAATCTATATGACATGTTTTTTAGAATTTCTTAATTTATTTGGGACTAATTCTAACATAAATAAAATAACATTTATAATATGCTTTATTTGTATATGTGCCATACTCCTTGACCGTGCTCATCATGGTCCCTGTTCCTAAAATGCCAACACTGCTCTTCAATATCTGACTCATTTCACAAATGCACACCTCCTTCATGAAGTTTTTCTAAGTTTTTTTCCTCTCTCACTACTCTTCTCCAAGTCAGGTTATTCTGTTTTCTTTATCCCAGTAACTTTTTTTGCATTCCAGTTAGAGTTTCTCTCTACTCTGAAATGTCACCAATTGTTTCCATGCGTCTTTCAGCCACTAGATTGGTTGTTAAGCTTTTAAAGTTTCTAATTCTCTGACATCACCAAGCACGATACTTGTTTGTAGTTGATATGAATATTTGCTTAATTGAACTAAGTTATTGGTACATAAGATAATCTTTGCTTGAATGGGCCAACAAAGTTTTATCGTTTGTCAAAATTTTTATTACATTTCTGCTGTTAGAAAGGTATTTATAGCCAGAGGGTCCTTAGAGATCATCTAATCTTTCTAATATTAAGAGACCTGAAGGCTAAGAAAAGTTAAGGTCCTATAAATAAAGTGGCCAAGAGTGTGTGTGCTCAGTTGCGAAGTCATGTCTGACTCTTTGCAACCCCATGAACTGTAGCCTGCCAGGCTCCTCTGTCCATGGATTTTCCAGGCAAGAATACTGCTGTGGGTTGCCTTTCCTCTTCCAGGGGATTTTCCCAATCCAGGGATCAAACTCATGTTTCCTGCATTGGCAGGCAGATTCTTTACTGCTGAGCCTCCTGGGAAAAGCTCCAAAATGGCCCAGACAGTTCTAAAATTTGGGTTTTCTGACTACAAACCAGCACCTTTTCTATGGTGTTATTCCGTATAGAAGCATGGTCATGAGAAATTGGTAAAATCTATGTTATAATTTCTTGCACATATTCACAGGTAGGTATGTGTGGGTTCCAAATCATAGACATCTGACTTACAAACCATTTTAGAACACAGCTAGTTCAGGGGGAGCAGAGTGAATGCATTTCCTCCTTGTTTTTCATCCTTTGTTTCCTTTTTTCCTTTCATATTCGTTCATTTATCTTTCAACAAGTACTTTTTGAACAGTTGTTATATGCCTTTAATTATTCTGAAAACTTGGAATAAAGAGTTGAGCAAAGTAGAGCAAATCCCTATCCTTATGGTATTTTTAGCAAGGAGAGCATTGTCATTAATCTTACTGTTGACGAACAGTTACTCTGGTTCATTAGATTCAGTTTACGTGTTTCTTTTGGGCTTGCCTCATAGCTCAGTTGGTAAAGAATCTGCCTGCAATGCTGGAGACCTGGGTTTGATTCCTGGGTTGGTAAGATCTCCTGGAGAAGGAAATGGCCACCCACTCCAGGATTCTTGCCTGGAGAATCCCATGGAGAGAGGAGCCTGGGGGGCTACAGTCCATGGGGTCACAAGATAGCGACACAATTTAGCGACTAAACCACCACCACCGTGTGTTTCTTTTAGTGATTATATACCCATTTTTAATTACTGTTTTTTGTAAACTATTCAAACTAAAATGAATTTTAAGGTATGTATGTCAAAGGAATGCCAGTGAGCTTTTAAGATTTTCATATAATGAGAGTGATAAGTAAGTTAAATACCTGAATTTGGAATTAGTCATAAACATTTGAACACATCCTATGTCAGGAGGATCTAACAGTGATAATTTAGTTTTGATGCTTAGTAAATGTCAACTTAAATTTTTTTCAGTTTCTTTAATTCCATTAACTTGTTTATATCCATTATATACCAAACATTGCTCAGAGTTTGGAGGTGTAGAAATGAGCAAGACTCAGTCCCTGTTCTCAGGGAGGCTCCAAGTCTAGTGAGAGCAAGTAACAAGTATGGTAGAACAGGATGGTAGTGATAGCAGCTAGCACTTGCTTGAAGAAGGAAGTGGCAGCCCACTCCAGTGTTCTTGCCTAGAGAATCCTGTGGACGGGGGAGCCTGGTGGGCGGCCGTCCACAGGGTCGCACAGAGTCAGACACGACTGATGCGACTTAGCAGCAGCAGCAGCGCTTGCATAGTTTGGACTATGTTCCAAGATTTTTCTAAGTGCTATCTATCAATCCATTTTGCCCTTAAAACATGTGAGGAAAATATTATAGTTATCCTCATTTCATAAATGAGGAAACTAAGGCACAGAGAGTTTAAGTAATACAGGTCACACAGCTAGCATTAAAAAGTTAGAAAGAATGTTAACAGTTGTGACAGAGTGATGTGAAGGGTGGTAGGGCAGCCAGAATAAAGGGCATCTAATTCAGTGTGGGAGGTTTAAGGAAAGTATTCCAGAGGAGTGGCACTTGAGTTAAATTTCTGTCCCGGTATATAAAATGATGAAGTGATCATTATGGTTTTCTTGAGTAGCCAAAAAATGTATGTATAAAACTGTTTATTTCTTCAAGTAGTATATTCCTTCTGAAAATTAAATTCTCATTGATTTTGATTTGTGTAGATACAGTAGATATACTTTTTGTGGAGGGAGAAATTTTAATTTTTTGGTCTCCTGACTAAAGCATAATTTCAATTAGAATTTAAGTTGAGTTTATTTTTATTTAAGTTGATAATCATTTAACAGGAAAGATTTGATGTAATTTTAACATGATTTGGTTCAGTTAAGCCCGTCACAGATGCCAACAGGCTGCTGCTTACAGGCCGTTGAGTATCTGGAGAAAACTGTGTGCTGTAGTTAACTCCCTCAATGTGGCGCATTCCTGGCAACTTCCCGTGACCAGACGTCCTTTTTGTGTCTAGCAGTTGTGATTCTTTCTTTCACTTCTGTGATTTGCAGGATTGAAGACAACAACTCCAGGTCCAAGCCTTTCCCAAGCCTTACCAGCTAATGAAAATTTAATGCCAAATACCTCAGTGAATACTACAGCGTATGTAGCTGACACAGAATCAGAACAAGCAGATACACGGTAAAGCTTCATTGATACCGAACTGTTGTTGTTATTCTGTCAATAAATTAATAGTATATTCAAGAAGTAAAGCCAATGCCTTATCAAGTCATTTCTTGGGAGATAAAGTATTTGGAGTGTGGGATGCCAGGGAAAATAATATTTGGGGACAGGGTTTAGCAAACTTTATAAAGTACTAGAAAATAATATTTTTGGCTCTGTGGGCTATGGACCTCTGTCACAGCTACTCAACTCTGCCACTGTAGAATTAAAGCAGCTGTAGACACATGTAAATGAGTGAGTGTGGATATACTCAAGTAAAACTTAATTTTCAAAATAAAGTGGTCAGCCATATTTGTCCTACAAGTTGTAGTTTGTCAACTTCTGAAATAGATAAAGTTCTTTTTTTTAATTCTTTGCAAATGTACATAGACAACTACAAAGAATTACAGTTTTATTTATGACTGGTGTTTTATGGTCCTCTACGTACAGAGGGTTTTTTAAAATTGTTTTTTGATTTTTTTTGGAAAGCAGGGTTAGCTCATATGTATCCTATGCATTTTTTAATTTAAGACGCTATTTTAAATCCATAATGAATTATTCATATTGAAAAATACTTACAGTAGCACTATAATATGCCATAACTAAATTTTCACTGTACCTATGTTTTGTATCGAAACTGTGTGTAACTTTTAAAAGAAAAACTATTAATTTTTTGAAAGTCAGTTTAATGACAGCTCTGGGTTTTTTGTGAAATAAGAATGGCAAAAAAACCCATAAGAATAGCAAAGATAATATATATTTAACCATTCATGGTAGAACTGTGTGTTTATGTGTGGGTTTAAAACATTTTTCTGTTAATCTAGAGTTCAATTGTAGAGACTGCCTTTTGGTTGGAATGTCACCATTTCAGTTCACTGAAAGTGATTGAAATACCACATTATATTTGTTCTGAATTTCTAGTTTTTATCATTTATTTTTTACATGCAGGTAATTTAAAAATTTTAAACAAAGCAAGAAACACTTAGGAATATGATGGCTTAATTTATAATAAGAGACAGAGTTATTATTTCATGTGTGTTTGGCAGTTTTTTATAGAGCATGCCTGACAGCATGTGCTGTAGGGGATGGAGAGAAGGCTGGCATCTGTCTTCAGGGAGCTTTGATGTCAAAGGAGCTGCTTTCTTGAACAATATATTATAAAATATATTCAATAAACTGTTATCTCAAGACAGCTACATTCTAAAGCTGTATTATATTAGTACTATTTAAAGGACTTTATTTCTGGATAAAAATTGCTAAAACTTTGATTGTTTACCATGCATTCTTTCTTTTGCTGCAGTATGGATTTGAGTGAAAGACCAAAAGAAATGAAAGTATTTGGAATGGAACCAAAATGTAGAGTACTTTCACAAGAAACGTCCACTGTGAAGAAACCCCACAAAATAAGCTCTAACAATAATATAGTGTCAAATACTCTGGTTAGGATGAAAATCCCAGACTATCAGCTTTCACCGACTAAATTCCCACATGTAAATAAAAGTAGAGGTTGGCCTTCTCAGCATCGGCAAACCAACTCCATCAAAGACTATTTTCAGCCGCTTACCTCTCCCAAAAAAAGGTATAATTTTTAATAGTAGTGTTTTATGCCTGTAAAAATACTTGTTTTATGATTGTAGAATGGTACTAAGTTCATACTCTGTGTAAGTATGCTTCTGTAGAAAGCTGTGGCCCTTTGAGCTTATCCCCTCTCAGAAATGTCCACATTGCCTTCTTTTTTTTTTTGATATTTTATTTTACTTTATTTTTTTTTTTTTTAGTGGTTTTTGTCATACATTGACATGAATCAGCCATGGATTTACATGTATTCCCCATCCCGATCCCCCCTCCCACCTCCCTCTCCACCCGATTCCTCTGGGTCTTCCCAGTGCACCAGGCCCGAGCACTTGTCTCATGCATCCAACCTGGGCTGGTGATCTGTTTCACCCTAGATAATATACATGTTTCGATGCTGTTCTCTTGAAACATCCCACCCTCACCTTCTCCCACAGAGTCTACAAGTCTATTCTATACATCTGAGTCTCTTTTTCTGTTTTGCATATAGGGTTATCGTTACCATCTTTCTAAATTCCATATATATGTGTTAGTGTACTGTATTGGTCTTTATCTTTCTGGCTTACTTCACTCGGTATAATCGCCTTCTTACCTGAGTTCATTTCTGCTGCTGTTGTTCAGCTGCCCAGTGGTGTCCGACTCTTTGCAACCCCATGGACTGCAGCACGCCAGGCTTCCCTGTCCTTCACCATCTCCTGGAGTTCCTCAATTCATGCCCATGGAGTTGGTGATGCCATTCAACCATCTCATCCTCTGTCATCCCCTTCTCCTCCTGCCTTCAATCTTTCCCAGCATCAGAGTCTCTACTGAGTTGGCTCTTTGCATCAGGTGGCCAAAGTATTAGAGCTTCAGCTTCAGCATCAGTCCTTCTAATGAATATTCAGGATTGATTTCCTTTAGGATTGACTGGTTGATCTCCTTGCAGTCCAAGGGACTCTCAAGAGTCACTAAGTTCGTTAGATAGATTTTCTCTCATTTTTTTTCCTTCTGTTGTTTCATTTTCTGAAAAGCTTTCCCACACCTGAGTTTTTTTGACCTACCTGTTTCCGTTGGTTAGGTCTCTCATTTCCTCTAGGACCATGCTTCATTTATTCTTAATTTCTAGCACCTTTAGTATCTTCTTCTAGGTGCTTTTCTTCTATATTCAAAGACTCTATCTCATTTTTAGTTTTTAAAACCTTCCCTTGACTTGATTTCTTCCTGGAGCTACTACTCTTTATCTTTTAAATTCACTGTTAAACTTATAAGAGGACATTATTGTTCCCATTTCTGTATGAAATATTTCTTAACTAACCATGTTTCATCATGACCTGACACCCTTGAAAGTAGTCGCTGACACACTTCACACCTCTAGTGGCCCTTTGATAACACTCAGCTCTTCAGCCTTTGTTCTCTTTGTGATTTCTTCTTGGTTTTTTGTGGTAGTGTCTCAGTTTTTCTTTTTCTTTTTTTTGCCTCTCTGACTTTGCTCCCATTGAGGACTTCTTTTCTTCCTACTATGTATGTTTCATTTCAGGTTATAAATGGTCAGTATATTTGGTCCTGACTTAGTAGTATATCACTCCTACTTTTCCACAGAAATCTGCTTTTTCCTCTAATCATAGGCGTAAAACTTTTTCACCCCTGTCATTGCACTGTATATGTAATTTTGTTAGCAGTTTACTGTATCAGCATCTTTGACTCTTTCTCCTCTGCCTCCCCAAACCAGTAGTGCTGATTCTTCTTTTAATTGTCTATAAATAACTCTTTCCATCTGTTTATGTTGCTATCTTTCTAATTCAAACTCTGATTATTTGGATTATTACAAAAATCTCTTGGTTGGTTGATCTGGACCCTGACATTAGTTTAGCCTCATTAAGGTGTCACTCTTAACTGGTCCAGTTCAACATCCTCTTGTGAACTGGAGAGCAGACCCGGTTTGTGTGTCCTCTAGGGGCCTCAGTACCGTTTAAATGAGCTAAGTATTCAGCACTTACGGAGTGAATTTAGTATTGTATGGAATATACGTAGTCATATATTCACACATATAGTCTTACACTATATGCTGGATTTAGCCACTTCAACTTACTATCTTGAATTTGGCTCTCATGAACTGAACAGGTTTTAGTCCCAGGGCAATTTTTCCTTGCTCACAAGTTCTCTACATTACAAAATAAGCTGTTTTTTTCCTGACAAGTCTTTTGTATTTTATATTATTCTACCTTTTCCTTCACACTGATTCATCAACTATTGCAACTTTTAAAAAAGAAGATAAACATCTCTCCATTGTTTAAGCTGTGGGATTGATCAGTCCTATCAAAACAGTCAGGTGTGTATGAATTATGTACTGTTTTCAGATGTCTACTTTTTTTATTTCTGATGAGATTGTTAATCATTAAAACCAGGAATATTGTCAAATGAAGAAGGGGGTGAATATTGCCAAAGTAAAAAATTACTTAGCTGTGTTCATTTTCTGTTCTTGTTTTCTTCTCTCCTTTTTTGAACCCAAGGGAAAGGGATGAAGAAAATCAAGAAATGTCTTTATCCAAATCAGCAAGAATGGAAATGTCTTGTTCTCTTTTAGAACAAACACAACCAACTACATCGTCGATAAGGAAAAATAAGGATGAACACCTATCTCAGAATGTGCTTGTGGAAAAAAACCCAGATAATTCATATGCAGATACCAATTTAAAACCCACTGTGAAAAATTATGCCAATGAGTCTCTTTTTACAGAAAAACTAAAATCAAAAAAAAGAAAAGAAATTGATGATTTAGCCATAGAAGATGAAGTATTAGAACAGATATTCAAGGATACAGAACTAGAGTTAGAAAGCGAAGTGAAAGTTCAAAAACAAGAGGAAGATATCAGTGTTAGAAAAAGGCCAAGATTGGATATAGAAACAAATGTCACTTTTAATGATGAAACAATACCAGAAAGTAACAAGATATCTGTAAGTAACATTATTTATTGAGAAGTATTGCAAATAGGAACTTAGAATGTTAAAAAAGTACTTTAGATATTTGTGTTGACAGTATGAGCAGTCCTCCTGTTTATTTGGGGGAAAAAAATTAGAATCTTCTACACCCTGTGTTAAGTATAAGAGTTGGTTGATAAAGTAAATGTTAAAAATACAATGGTTCTTTGACTATTTATAATAGATGACAATAACTAAAATTGTTATTCATGATTGTTTTAATAGATTTCCAGGCTCTACTATTTTATTATATCAGACATTTGGCCATGATGTTAAGTATAGGAGGTGTTTTAATAGAGTAAACAGGCACTGAGAGATGAAGCAAGTTAGCAAAACAAAGTATCTACTTAAATAAATTTTTAAGATCGAGCATGTATAACATCATTAGAGATTTTAAATTTTCATTTTTATCTTTAATGTTCCATTCTCTTTTCATGAATATTGGTAATTGTTTTACTCACTTTGTTCTAAGACAGCAAAGATTATTTTTTAGATTATTTCATATTTTATGCATTATTAAGTAGCCTACTATTTGTAGATTAGTTGCCGCATTAGGTGAGGGCACAGGTGCAACAAGTTGATAAGCATTTGTTGAGAATCCGAAGATTCCTGGGTGGTGCAGTGGTAAAGAATCTGCCTGCTAAATGCAGGAGGTACAGTTTCGATCCCTGGGTTGGGAAGATCCTCTAGAGTAGGAAATGGCAACCTACTCCAATATTCTTGCCTGGAAAGTCCCATGGACAGAGGAGCCTGGTGGGCTACAGTTCATGGGGTTGCAGAGTCAGACACGACTGAGTGACTGAGGATGAGAATCTGGTGTGTATCAAGCACTATATAAATCTATAACTGTTACTGAAGAATTGGAATATATGGCCTGTTTAGCCTATACCCTGGAGATGGGAACGGCCACCCACTCCAGTATTCTGGCCTGGAGAATTCCATGGACTATATAGTCCATGGGGTCAGAAAGAGTTGGACACAACTGAGCAACTTTCAGTTCACTTAGCCTATATACTGGTATCTTCATATGAAGGAAAAAGTCCTTATTGTTCATTACTTCTTATGAGTGAATACTTAATACCCACTTTGGACCAGTGCATCACAATCACCTGGTGAGCTTTTAAAAATAAGGATTCCCAGACCAAAGGCCCAGAGATCCTGATTCAGCAGGTCCAGTTTTCTTTCCAGAAAAAATTCCTGCATTGTATTAGTTAAGAATTCTGCCATCTTTAAAAATCAGTGGCTTAAATAAGATAGAGTTGTTTTTTTTTTCCTATAGAAGACGCCCAGAGGTAGGTAACCAAAGCTGCTTGGTAGCTGCTGGTATTAATTTCCTAGGTGTCTATCTTTCTGCTTCATGAGATGGCATCTCTGGCCATCAGGTCAACTTGCCTGGGAGGAAGAAGAAGGTGGAAAGGCAGCAGGGTAAAGGGCTTTCCGCTTGAGTTCATTCTAAGGAGCTTTCTCAGAAACCCCACTTGACAGCTTTGGTTGTTGGCCAGGATTTAGTTATGGTCTTTGCCAACCTCAGCCCTAAAATCCCCAAGAGGGTCTGGGAAATGCTTCAAACTTAGTATATCACTTAGGACAACATTGTCCCTTAATTAATATAAAAATTATATTAATAAGGGAGAAAGAGAATGGATACTGAGATATCTGTTAGCAAGGTGGAGAACTTCAAAAGCAGACAAGTCCTTTATTATCAAAGTTTTAAGATTAGTTATCACATTACAGAAAAGATTAATTGAACCAAGAGGTTTATATATCCTATAAGTCACTTCTGTAGCAATTTCCATTGTAGTGGAGAATTAGATAAGTTGGTTTAATATGGCATTTGATGAAATCCAAGGGATGATGTCCTAAGTTTAATCAATTTATATCCCTTTATAAAGATGTTTATTAGATATGTTTATTATACTTTCACTCTGAGTTTTCATTGTCACTTCTGCTCTAGACTGTACAAGAATCTGTGTTCAGGCTAGTACGTAATTCTACAGTCTTTAGAAAGTCAGGCCCTACTTACGTCACTTTGGGAATGCCTTTGCCTTGTGGGACCCTATCCTCCTATATTTATTTCTAATTTTTCCTGCTTTTTTTTTTCTAGTTTTCTTGTCCTTTTACATAGTTTATGTATTTTTTAATAGGCTTTTTTTTTTCTTTTTCTTAAATTTTTTTGCAGATGGGTCCACCACTTGGCAGTACCACAGGTCTGTCTGACAGAGTTGTAGTTTTAGTCACAGAATACATTGGTCAATCCTGCCTGCTAATTAATTCCAATGAAGTGCTTTGACCACACATTCTTCAAGGGCTCATGTCACCCAAGGAATTGGGCATTAGGGCCCAGAATGGGAGAGACAAGAAGTGAGCACCATATACCCTCCAGTGGTATGAGAACCATTTAACAGTTTTTTGTGGACCTGGAAAAACCTTTCATTTAATGCCAAGGTTTACATGCTGTATAATGATACCAGGAATATAATTATTTTATTTTGCTCTATGATTCTGCAGCATCATTTCCTTTGTCCTTTTTTTTTTTTTTAAGAACTTATGACATTTTGAATAAAAACATGGTACAATATAAATATGTTGTAGCATACTTTTGGAGAGTGAGTAGCAACTTGATTGTGACATGCTTCTGGAAATACTAAAGTTAAACCACTATTTTTATAATTTTTTAGTAAGAACCTTGTTAACAAAGGTATTTTTGCTTTCAATGTAAGATAACTTAAAAACTTTTTTGAAAACGGAAATCCAGGCGAGAATACTGGAGTTGGTTGCCATTTTTATCTCCAGGGGATCATCCCAGCCCAGGAGTTGACCCTGTGGCTCTTGCCACGTCTCCTGCATTGCAGTCAGGTTCTTCACCACCAAGCCACCAGGGAAGCCCAGGAAGGCAAAATTATGATGCTCCTCTCCGGTGTTGGGTTCCTCCGCTGTATGTCAGAAGGATGTTTTCTAACACATCAGAAAATATCAGAACAGGCATTTTTGTGTTCGGGGATTAAATATGGATTCTAGCATGTCTGTAAGAGTTCCTGTAAGCTAAAATAGAAAGCTGTTGGCTAGATTCCCGTTAGGAGTTTATCCTCATGTGAATGACAGCTGTCCCAGGGTCTTGGCTTTGCTTTCAGTTCCCCAGTCTTCATAAAATGCCGACATGACTCCACATCCTTGTTAGCATTCCTCCTAACAGCGCCCACTGTCCACAGAAGTCTCTTCACCTCATTTCTACCCTTGTGTTTTGAATTAAGGTTTCCTCTTCTCTTAACAACTATGTGCTTAATCAGTCAATCGTGTCTGACTCTTTGTGACACCATAGACTATATAGCCCACAAGTCCATGGGGATTCTTCAGGCAGGAATACTGGGGTGGGTTGCCATGCCCTCCTGCTCCAGGGGACCTTCCCAACCCAGGGATCAAACCTGGGTCTCCCACACCGCAAGCAGATTCTCTACCGTCTGAGCCACTAGGCAAGCCTGTGGCGTCTTTGACAGCCTGGCAGTTAGGCCTGTCATTTACTGGTTCCATCATGCTGTTCGCAGCAGCGTACTCTGAGGTAGTGCTCCACACACGAACAGACGTGGACACTGGCAGTAGGAGTTATGTAACTTGCCAAGCTGACTTACGTAGGTTTTGACAACTGGGACAGAAATCCTTGCTTCACCTTGTTCTTTTGGCTGTTCCCTTTGTCAGCTTTCTCAGAATGTCATTCATTCATTCTAGACATTGGGCGTGCTAACATGAAAGGCAGTCGGAGTGGATAAGTTTGATAGAACTTTAGGAGGTAGAATCTCTAGGACTTGGTGATTGACTTAATAAGAGAGATGAGGAGAGAGGAAAAAGTACTGGAAAATTCCCAAGCTTACAGTCCCAGGCTCTGGGTATGGTTATAGTGTGATTCTCTGAGGTAGGAAATAAAAACTTGCTCAAGCAGATGAGCAAGTTTGAGGTAGTAAGACAGAATGGGGAAAAAAACATAGGGGGTTAAAATGTGATTGTGGTAACAACTTAGAGTGGGTGATGTATGTGAAAATACTCAATAAAAGGGTATGTGGTAGCCTTGGAATAGACATTTTTAATCTTACTACTGATAAATAACATTAATTTCTTTAGTCTCTAAGCAAGCTCAAAGTACATTTTGCTTTTTCTTTCCAACTTTATTATTAACATTTTTCTGCATTTTTATTACTGAATCATTGAAAATTTGATGTAAAATGATATGCCCCCCTATTGTATCCGAAGGGATTGTAGTTTTTATTGAAAGTATTAGAAAGCTATCTGTGTAATGTACTTTTATCTCGTATGTGAGCTATAAGTATGAAGGATAGTATGATTTTATGCAGGAAAGTCTCCATTTTTTTATAGATAAATACCTTGAACAATTAAAATAACTCTGCCTGGATTAAGGATATTTAACATTCAATTCTAAATAAATTTAAATAGACTTCCTTAAAAATTTGTTTTTATTTTTGACTATAAAAGTAATACACAATCATGTAGAAATACGAAAAATAAAAATATAACAATTTGTTGATAATCCTATCCTCTGTAGATAACCACAGTTAATATTTTGGCATTTTCTTTTTTAAATCTTATTTTTTAAATTGGACTCAAATGTTAATGCAGTTTTATAGCCATTGTAATTCCTTTATATTATGATCATTTCTCATATTAAACTCTTTATAACTTATATGAACTTAGGTTGCTTCCAGTTCTTTACTCTTACAACTCATCCTACAGTCTTCTTCTAAATATATTTCTATTCTCATCTCATAGTATCTCTAGGAAAGATACTTGAAAGTCGTAGATCAAGAACATGAATAATCTAAGGTTTTCAGAAAGGTTCCATCTTATAACTCTTATGAACAATATTTTTTATTTCTTTAGCAAGAAAATGAAATTGAGAAGAAGTGTGAGCTCAAGAAAGAATCACTCTGGTCAACTAAAGAACTATCTGTGAGGAATTTTTAATTTTTATAAAAATTTGACTTATATTGACTGTCATTTCATTGATTTTTTTTCTGAGTCTTCATTCTTAGGATTAAAGCTGATTCTGTTTCTATAATTTTGGTCTATTTCATAGTTATACTTCCTCTGGAAATGGACAGATCATATTATGAACATGGTATAGCAAAAAGAATATGGAGAAAGCCTGAGTATAATTCTCTGCCCTCTACTCCATAGATCTGAGACCTTTAACAGGTCATTTTCACATTTACGAACTTCAAGTCTTTTGTTTATAAAAACACTTGATATTTCTACAGTAGAGTTGTTGTTTATATAAAATAGAGTAATGGATAGGAACTATTTATAAACTCTAGGACAAAATACAAGAATAGTAGGCTATTGTCATTAGAGTTCCTGATTACATTCAGTCACTGTCACATGAACCTTTTCTTTTGATTTTTCTGTTTTTTCGTCTCTTCCTGACTGTCTTTATCTTAGTCCTGTTAGCAGCTTGCAAATGGATATATAGTAAAGCAGCTTAAAAAACTAAGATGGTCAGCCTTGGGCAGCTGTAAGAACATGGATATGTAGCTGCTTAGTTAATAGTAAATGACATAAAGAATCTCTTCCAGCAACAGAAAGGAATCTTCACGCTGATTAAATAATTGTTAATCTGGAATTTAAAAAGTGGCTTTCAGTTAATGAGGTGGTGTGTGCCCAGAATTAGTGGTTGAATTTTTTGAGGTGTCCAAACTAATAAAAAACATAAATTATTGAAAATCAAGAAAACTAAAAAAAGAAAAGAAAAGAAAATCAAGAAAACTTAAGCATAGTACAGATAACTTGTAGAATGGATAATATATAACTTGTAGAATGGTTTTAATGAAAAGAAGCAAACTGTTTCTTGCCAAAAAAATATATACAAGAAGATAAATTGTTTATTGGGATGATTTTTATTAGAATATGCTATTAGATTTCAAATACTTTATGGCTTTTTAGTCTTTTGTCATACATGAGTATGTTATAAATGTTTCTGAAGTTAGAGTCAGAAATACTACATGAGTGATTTTCTGGTTTTGAAACAGATAAGATTTGATTTCAAGTACAAAGTTCAGATGTCAGAAATAAACCTTTTTTTTTTTTTTCCTACTGTTTTTTCAGATATTTGAACTTTTTTCTATAAGTTCTTTAAGTGACAAGTAATTTTCCTTTTCCTTCTTATTTTATCCATCTTAACACTGTTTAAGAACAATGGTGAACTTCAGGATGGTAATGAGATGCTTCCGAGGAAAGTGTTACTGACTGAATTTCGTTCACTGGTGGTTCGTAACTCCACCTCCAGAAATGCATCCAGTGTGAATAATGATTATGGTGAACTAAAGAATTTCAAGAAATTCAAAAAGGTATGTATTCCTTTAAAATGCAACGAGAGTGCAGTGTTTGAAATATTTTTAGAAGTATACTAAATAGTAGTAAAAGCGGTTTATGTTGAAAACTGATGTTATTTCTTCTGCTTAAAACAGTTAAAAGTTACTCTCGTAAGTATATACACTGACACTTAAATTAATATATAAAACAAAATATTAAGGTTGAATTCTTTAAAGGATGCTGTTTACCCGTTTTCCTATTGGCTAGGGTCCTCCTAGTTCTTTTTCTTTCTTTCCTGTTTTGGTCATCTTTTGGTTGCTCAGTGCAGCTTACAAGATCTTAGTATCCAACTAGGAATCAAACCTGTGTCCTCAGCAATGAAAGCATGGAGTGCTGAAAGAATATTTTTCATCCCGTCTGTATTCTTTCTGTTGTCTCTTCTAGGGTGTTTTATTTCTTGCTCCATACTACTACTGACCTGCTAGGTTTTACATATGCATTTGATCAGAATGTAGTAATTTTTTCAAAAGTGATTGCTGTGAAAGACTGCTTTTCTCTAGAACATGATCTATATGATTTTTGCCATGACTACAGTGTGTTATAGTTTTTCCCTCTCGAATGTGAGCTACTATTAATTAGCATTAGTTTTCTGCTTATGACTTTAGAGCCATTGAGAGTGTTATAGTATTATTGAAGTGTTGTGAGCGCCGTTTAACAGGAGGACTCTCTTCTGCTTAGAGCAGACAGTGGGAGCTATCTCCACTCATTTCCCAGCCCGCACGGACAGCACAGGGACACCCATGTTGAGTGTCGCACCGCAAAGGCTCACTGGGTTCAGATGCAGGAGGCATGCTGAGTTTGTTAATTAATGCAGCTGACCACATAAAAGCGATGTGCTGTTCACTGTTGGCGCAGGAGTGGTGAGAGTGTGAAGTAGTATAAACTTCTGGAAAATAGTTCAGAAACATTTAAAACCCTTATAAATACTAATATCTTTGGCCAAGGGAATTTTTTGAGACTAAAAGAAATTCAATTTTTATACAAAAAGAAGTTCAAAGGGATTGCCTGTCATGAAAGGATTTGTCTGAATTTTTCTGTATAATACTCAAATCAATGAAATGACTGTTTCTGCTCACTTTCACTCATTTTAATTTATATAATATAAATATGTTTAGTACTTATATGTGATTTACAGTCTTTGTGTTTTTAAGGTTTTGGGTTTTTTTTTAAATATGATTGTCTTAATTTTTTAGTGCATTTAACAAGGTTTTCTGTTCAACAGGTCACGTTTCCTGGAGCAGGAAAACTTCCACACATCATTGGAGGATCAGATCTAATAGCTCATCATGCTCGGAAGAATACAGAATTAGAAGAGTGGCTGAGGCAAGAAATGGAGGTTAGCAGGAACCCAGACCCAGTAACTTGCTGGATTATTTGATCCCTTGTGATTTCCTTAGAGCAAATTCTTCTTAAAAACCAAACTTAAGATAAGTGGCCTAAGGTTATTCAGAAAAATTCCTGAGTTACAGAGCATTAAGATTAATTTGCACCTTTCCATAACGCTTCTTTAAGGGACTTCTAAATTTATTGATCATATCTAGAACTAATTTGCTGCCTAAGCCTCAGGAACCCATACCTCAGTTATAAAATTTCTCTTTTGGGAAAATATGAACAGCTATACAGCTCTCCATGTTAGGAGTTGGTTTCCAAAATTTCACTGTTTTACAGATAATCAGCTGCATGTGTTATAAACTCTAATGGGAACTCAGAGGAGAGAATACAAAAATATGCTTCCTTTACTTTCTGGGTGTTGTGAGTCCCAGTGTATATATATTCTATAACAGGACTGTCCACCTGATCCATAATTCTTTCAGCCCCTTTTTTTTTAAGCTGAAGAATTGAACAAAAATTCATTAAATTGAGGAGTCTTTTAGTACAGAAGAATTCAGAAACACAGGACCACTGACTTGAGAGATAATCAAAGTCCACATCCAGAGTTAGAGAGGCGTCTTCTTGGTTCTTTGTATTGCCTGATTATCCACTGTTCTGGAAACCAAAGGTGGGCTCCATTGATCATCTCAGCAGGCTGTTTGGTAATTAGGGAGTAGGGGCGATGTCACTTCCGTGCTCTCTGATGTGACCTAAGTCCCCGTTTCTCCTCAGTGTATCTCACCTCCTTTCTAGATATTTCACTCCTTCGTTTCTTTGGATTTTACTTTTGATAATTTCTTTAGATTGTCTTCCAGTTTAGTATTTCTCTCATCAGATCTGTCTGGTTGGTATTTCACTCATCCATTGAGTTTTCACTCGACATACTGCATGGTTTCATTTCTGAAAGCGCATTTCATTTATTTCTAAGTCTTGTTCCCTGATATTTTAAAGCTGCTGTTTTATATTCAACACATAAAGTGTTGATATGTTTAATCTAGTTCTCTCTCTGGGTGCCTTGTTTCCAAGTACATATTTTGTCATGTTTGAATGTTAACTGCTTCTTTTCCTTGGGAACTTGATCTGTTGGGAATCCTTAAGTCTAATTTCAGGTTTATTTCCTCCAGAAATATGAGACTCCTTTAATCTCTGCTTGTAATGTTTTTGGACCATTCAGCTAGTTAATACATATTTGGACCCAAAGCTTGAGTGAAGGCTAACCTGTCATTATAAACTTAGTGAGATTTTTAAAAATTCCTTTCTTTCAGTTTGTATCAGGGTCAAGACAAGCAAGTGTATTTGCTGTGTTTTTTGTGTGTTGTAGTTTGTTCCCGTTTCACCCTTTAATACTGGAGTCCTTTATTCCTTGTCTTGGGTTTTCTTTCATAATGCTCATTCCCCACACAGATGTCAGAGGAGAGCCTGGGCTTCTGTGGTCTGCAGACCCCCACAGAGCAGGTCGAAAGCTGACTTTGGTACTTGGTAACGTCTCAGGACTTGTATTTTGCTTTATTATGGGTTAAATGCAGTGTTTTATTTCAAAGAACTTTTCTATTACCTCCTTAAAGACATTTTTATATTTGCTGGGATCACTACACTTAAGGCATTGCTCTCCTTTATTAAATCACCTGCTTCACATCCATTTCTTCTACATTCACTGTGGTTTTCTTTATGCTCTTTATCAGAAATTCAAGTTTCAGTTGTATCTGTTCTATTCCTCACCAGCTATATTATGTGATCTTGACTTCTTTATACCTAATTAGAAATAATTAAAATTCTAATTACCCATTTAAACATTATTTTATTATTCCTGTTTCCTCCTATGCAGAATGGGACCAATAATAGTACCTCCATTACACAGGCTTTTTGTGAGAATTACAGAAGACACTACTTAATACAACATTTATAATAGTGGAAACTGTGTTAGCTATTTCTTAATTCTGAAATGGTGTCATTACAGGTTCAGTTTGTTTACTTAGCATTCATTGCCATTTCATTTCATTGTGTTTTTCCTATCATTTAACTTTTTTGTTCTTATTTTATTGCTTTCATGTTCTTATTAATTTATGTATCTTTTGTTCATGGGTTATTGTTTCTTGCAGACCAAGTTCTTTAACTGTCTTTGGCATGTTCTGTTCTCACCTCTCTCTTTTTTCCCCCATCTGGATGTGGAGTGGCTTTGCTGTTTTGTTTAATTTTGCCACTATTTAAAGTAAAAGACCTGTGCAGATATTGTTTGCTATGTGACACAGCATGTGACGTCTTATGCAGGGATTATGTTCTAAAACCAGTCTGGGGCTTCCCTGGTGGCGCAGTGGTAGAGAATTCGCCTGCCAGTGCAAGAGACATGGGTTCGATCCCCGATGTGGGAAGATCCCCCACGCTGCCAAGCAGCTAAGCCCGTGAGCCAAGAGTACTGAGCCCGTGCTCTGGAGCCTCGGAGCCGCAACTCCTGAGCCCACACCCCCTAGAGGCCATGCTCCACGATGGGAGAATCCGCCTCGGTGAGAAGCCCCCACTTGTTGCAACTAGAGAAAAGCCTGCGTAGCAGTGAAGACCCAGCACAGCCAAAAATAAACAAACAAAATTATTTTTAAAAGAAGCAGTTTGAGGTAGAAATTGAATGTAGTTAAAATCACTCCTACTCCAGTGCATCCATACTTGTCATTATGGCAATATATTCAGTCAAATGCATGTAGCATGTCCCATCTACTTGCTATTGCCTGAGACTACTGAACTTGACGTTTGGGGAGGTGGGGTGGTCAGGTAAAGCTATGTGCTGCTCTTTCTGGGAATGAAATTAAATATGTGCCAGGGAGGGTATCTCTTCCCAGAAGAGGATAACCTAGCATTTCAGGTTATTTGCCTGATCTGTCAGGGATGCCTGCAGCCTGTGTCTTCGGTCAGTGTCAGCCTCACTTATTCACCTTTCCACGCCGTTAACCCCCTCCCAGCAGTCCAGCAGGAGGTGTTTTCTCTTTCCTGCTCAGACTGCTCTTTCCCAAATTTGTAGTATTAGTAAGAATCCTCAGGTTTGGACAGTTCTGTAGCACCTTTTAATGAGTTGGAGGAGTGTTAGGAATCAGTTGCATTAGTCTTTGGCTTCTTTGCACGGCCACGGTTTTGAAATCAACATCTTGATTACTTATAACTGTTGCGTGTTACATGTTCTTGGATGGGGTGAAGCTGAGAGAATGATGGTGCAGCTGCTGACTTGTGTCTTTCTTTTATTTCATTAGCATTAGTAGAGGGACTGTTCTAGATTTATTCTATCAAATCTACTTCTTTTCCTAGAGCAATTCTGGGTACTCTGAGTAGAATTTGCTAAGATAAGAGTTGACTTTTTCCTTCTACATGGCCATAGCTCCTAAACGGATGTGCTACTGTCTTGATGTCTCATTTCCCTGTGCTTGCTCTAGCTACTCTCTGTGTTCCCTGCCTTTTGTTTAAGACCTTCTTTCTCTTCTTTTACTGCAGACCAGTCTTAGTTTTCACTATCACTTAGTTCCCATACTCTCTTTGAATATAGGATATTTTCTTTCTGTGCATTAAACATAACTCTTTGAATTCTACCCAACCTGATTTGGATTTTTAAAGACTGATATGTAGTTCTCCCAAGCCACTGATGAATGCCAGTAATAGGAATGCCATTTATTTGTTTTTTAACACTATTTTACTTAATAATTTTACTGAGATGTACAATATAAAGCTGATTTTTCTTTTTTAAATAATTTATTTTAATTAGAGGATAATTACTATACAATATTGTGATGGTTTTTGCCATACATCAACATGAATCGGCCATAGGTGTACACATGTCACCCCCATCCTAAACCCCCGTCCCACCTCCCTTCCCACCCCATCCCTCTGGGTGGTCCCAGAGCACTGACTTTGGGCGCCCTGCTTCATGCATTGAACTTGCACTGGTCGTCTGTTTTACATATGGTAATATACATGTTTCTATGCTGTTCTTTCACATCATCCCACCCTCGCCTTCTCCCACTGATTCCAAAAGTGTCCTTTACGTCTGTGTCTCATTTGCTGCCCTGCATGTAGGACCTTCTGAATCCCACATATAGGAGTTAATATACAGTGTTATATAAGTCTTTCTGACTTACTTCACTCTATAATAGGTTCCAGAGTCATCCATCTCATTAGAACTGACTCAAATGCGTTCCTTTTTGTAGCTGAGTAATATTCCACTGTGTGTATGTACCACAACTTCCTTATCCATTCATCTGTCAGTGGACATCTAGGTTGCTTCCATGTCCTAACTATTATAAATAGTGCTGCAATGGACATTTGGGTACGTGTGTCTCTTTCAATTCTGGTTTCCATCGGGTATGTATGTGTCCAGCAGTGGGATTGCTGGGTTGTATGGCAGTTCTATTCAGTTTTTTAAGGAATCTCCACACTCTTCTCCATAGTGGCTGTGTCACTTTGCATTCCCACCAACAGTGTAAAATGAGTCCCTTTTCTCCACACCCTCTCCAGCATTTATTGTTTGTAGACTTTTTGATGATGGACATTCTGACCAGTGTGAGATGGTACCTCATTGTGGTTTTGATTTGCATTTCTCTAATAATGAGTGATGTTGAGCATCTTTGCATGTGTTTATTAGCCATCTGTATGTCTTCTTTGGAGAAATAGCTGGTTAGGTCTTTTGCCCACTTTTTGATTAGGTTGTTTGTTTTTCTGGTATTGAACTGTATGAGCTGCTTGTACATTTTGGACATTAATTCTTTGTCGGTTGTTTAATTTGCTATTATTTTCTCCTCTTCTGAGGGCTGTCTTTTCACTTTGCTTATAGTTTTCTTCATTGTGCAAAAGCTTTTAACTTTCAGTAGGTCCCATTTGCTTATTTTTGTTTTTATTTCCATTACTCTAGGAGGTGGGTCATAGAGGATGTTGCTGTGATTTATGTCGAAGAGTATCCTGCATAGTTTCTGGTCTTACATTTAGGTCTTTAATCCGTTTTGAGTTTATTTTTGTGTATGCTGTTAAAAAGTGTTCTAGTTTCATTCTTTTACACGTAGTTAATCAGTTTTCCCGTCACCACTTGTTGGAGAGACTGTCTTTTCTTTATTGTTTATTTTTGCCTCCTTTGTCAAAGATGAGGTGTCCATAGGTGTGTGGATTTATCTCTGGATGTTCTGTTTTGTTCCAGTGATCTGCGTTTCTGCCTTTGTGCCAACACTATACTGTCTTGATGACTGTGGTCTGTACTAGAGTCTGAAGTCAGGACGGTTGATGCCTTTAGTTCTCTCCTTTCTCAAGATGGCTCTGGCTGTCCAGAGTCTTTTGTGTTTCCATACAAATTGTGAAATTGTTTGTTCTAGTTCTGTGAAAAATACCGTTGGTCATTTGATAGGGATTGCATTGAATGGGTAGTTGCTTTGGGTAATACTCATTTTGGTATTTAGGTATACTCATTTTCACAATATAGATTTTTACAATCCAAGAGCATGGTATATTTCTCCCTCTATTTGTGTCTTCCATTTGTGTTCTGCTCTACTTATTAGACAATGTAAAAAGATGTAATTTCATTTTGACATTTCATTTTATGAATAGAAAATCATCCTGGTAAGTTTGAATCCCTGCAAGTATAAGCTGGTGCTCTTATTCAAGTAGACCTGGTCAATCCCAGTTCTTCCATATGATAGTTTTCTGATTTTTCTTAACCTAAGTCTCTGTTCCTTGTTGGTTAAAATTGGGATAATAGTGTAAAATAGTAATGAAGTTATATGAATATTAAGTGAGTTTTTCTTAGAAACGGTTTTAAGATAGTATCTAGAAACACATAAATGTAAATTATTTATAGTAAACAAACAGTATCTGCATTCAGTGAACTTACACTTCTTTAGTGGAGACGTAATACAAATAATTATAACAGAAGGTAGAAATTGATAAGAATCTAGGGCTCACATAGCTAAAGTTTTGTGGGAGTTCTTCATATCAGACTCGTTTTTATGTTCTTAAATTATTTATTTTGTATTGGGGTACAGCTGATTCGCAATGTTGTGATAGTTTCGGGTGAACTGTGAGGGGCTCAGGCATGAGTCCCTTCACATACATGTGTCCGTCCTCTCCTGTCCAGGCTGCCACGGCACATTGAGCAGAGTTCCATGTGTGGTACAGTAGGTCCCTACTGTACAGTTGGTTATGCATTTCAGTCATGGCAGTGTCAGCCTTATTTTTAAATGAAGAGACTGAGAAAGCCATTGTTAAAGGTGAAGAACATATTCCTTGACACATAAGAGGCAGTAAATAATTATTGAGCAAATGCACCTTGAGAGATGGTCAGATGTGGACAGAGGAGGAAAAGGAAGTAATTTCTAGGTAGAGGGAGAAACATGGACAAAAGCAGAGAGGCCAGTATGTTTGCTGGGAGGTGTGGGTGGTGTTTTGTCTTTTTGTGTGATTCAGTTTATCTGGCTTTATAGGGTTCATGAAGAAGAGGGTGAGAAGTGATTGAGAAAGTAAATGGAGCCAGGTCATGAAGACCCTTTCCCATTATTTATGGGTCGTCAGACTCAAGAGTGTGTATTTTCTTTGGTAGGTTGGGGAAGTCATTGAAGTGTTTTGAATGGCACACGGTAAGATCATAGCTGGACTTGAGGAAGGATGCACGCAGCACAGGGTATTTCTGGTCCTAAGTCTCAAAGGTGCTTTAGGAGTTTGGTGAGTTTGTGTGCAAAATTACTTTGCGGATGAGGTAATTCAATAGCAGTTTCTGAGCCCTGATTTGGGACTGTGAGGAGGAGAGCTGCTTTAACTGGAGAGCTGCTCTGGTTGAAGGCAGGGTAAATATTACCTTCTCAGGCCTCCAGCAGTGGCATGATCTCAAAACATTGACATTTCATTTAGTAAAAGGGTTTTGCTGGAAAAAATTTTTAAAAACTTAACAAACTAGCAGTATATGTGTTGGTTGCCTTTGAGAGGAGACTGGCTGGAGAAATTTGATTAGGGGACTTCTGCAGTAATCTTGGCATGAAGGGAAAATGTTGACTGGGCGAGAACTGGTGACCTCCAGGATGTGGTCAGCTGCTGCAGCCAGCGCAGAGCAGGTAGGGGTGGAAAGTGGTCGATGCACAGTTTGGGGAAGAAGAAACTTAGAGACAGAATGAAAGTGTTGAAGATGGGACCAGGGGACTCAAGACCTCTTGGATCAAGAGCCCTGTTCCTTGGAGCCCTATCACATTTATTTAGTGTCTTGGCAACAGAAAGAATCTGTTGTGCTGCATGAAATCAGCCTCCTGTGTCCCCGGTCATGTCTCCCATTTTATTGATTACTTTAAACTGTCTTTGTTATTTTCCTGTACAAGGGTTATCACCTAGCTGGAGGTCGTAGACCCACATAAGCCTTGGGAAAACATCTTGGTGTGTGCACAAGCAGCATTCTGAACTTGCACTGACCTGGCATTCTGAGGTCCACAGTGTTTTTCTTTAGTTTAGCAGGGTATGATGATGCCAACAAATCAACCCAATGTACTTTTATTTGGGTTATGCTGTATCGCTATATTTTGCTTTTATTCTTTTCCCATGGTGATTTTCTCACGGCTTAGTCAGAGCAACAGGCGGCTGTTAACCCTTGCAGTCAACCAGCATGGCAGTTTCATTAACTGTGTATTCTTCCTTGAACAAATCTTTGAAATTATGTTAATTTTGACAGGTTCAAAATCAACATGCAAAAGAAGACTCTCTTGCTGATGACCTCTTTAGGTAAAGTTTAATTTCAGCTTTCTTGTGAATTGTTGTATATAACACTCAGTTCTGTTGATAGAGTTTAAATGTTTCGACCCCTTTCCTTAAAATTAGACACTTAGTATCTTCACCTAAATAATATTTTGTCTTGTTTAACTACTTGAGCACCTCTTTACTACTGGATATAGCTTTAAGGCTTGGGCTTAATTCACTTGCACTGTACCACAAGGTGTTTAAAATACATATGAGCATTTGGGCTTCCCTGGTGGCTCAGGGGTAGACAATCCACCTGCCAGTGCAGGAGATGCAGTTTGATCCCTGGGTCTAGAAGATCCCCTGGAAAAGGAAATGGCAACCCACTCCAGTATTCTTGCCTCGGAAATCCCATGGATAGTGGAGTCTGGTGGGCTGTAGACCATGGGGTTGCAAGAGTAAGATATGACTTAGCAACTAAACCACCACCACCATGGGGTATTTAGACAAATGAAGGTTCCTGAGCTAGGTGAATTTGACTGATATATTTTTGAGATTTTCAGCCCTGAGTAGAAAGAATTATGAATGAATGGAATTTGAAATAAGATAAGTAAAATACCAGACATGAAAATAAGAAGCTGGATTAGAGTTTCAAAGCACGTTTTTGTGAGAGGGTTAGAGGAGTTATAATGGGTAATAATAATTTAATTCAGATTTAACATTTGCAGCATTCTTGCAGGCCCAACAAGTTTTATAATAATTAGCTCTCAAATATTCATAAAATACAATATAGTAGGTAGACATTCGCTAGGGTGGAATAACGTTTTCCCAAGAAATACTGTAATTTTGAGTCTGTTTTATAGCCAATTTGACTTTTAATTTCATTATTGAAAGTATGAGTCATTGGTGAAAATGTTGACAAATAGTGCTGATTTTTCATAAGTATAGTCAGATGAGAATACTTGCCCAACTACATTTGTTCAGTTGCTATAGGAGAAGACTTTTTATAACATAATTATATTTTACGTTCATTATGCTCTTTTGGGCAAATGGTAAAACTTAATGTGGGAGTAGAGAGATCTGCAGCTAGTCTGGAGGAAGTATAAAAACATGTATTAATTTTTAAACTGTTGTTTTCATTAATTACTTTAAAGCTTTTACAGGATTTTTTATGATGTTTTACTTTAAGTCTTCGCTTAATATTTGATCCTAGGGATAAAATTGGCATTCTCATTCTGTTTGCCAAAGTGTGTCTGTATTTTGAAAGCCCTTTAACTTGTGAAAGGAGCACCATTATTTATCTAGATATCATCTGACTCAGTTTCTTTCTTTGCAGATACAATCCTAATGTTAAAAGGAGAAGATAACAAGGTTTTATGAAGAAGCCACAGAAAAACATTTCCTGTTTAGTATTTACTTCGAGTTTCCTCTGCAGTACATTCATACTGTGTATAGAAGATTTAAGTTTATGGCCTAAATTTGTTAAATAAAACACACAAACTCAGTTTCTTTTGTTTGTGACAATTAGTATTGTTTGTTCTGTTTTTAGTCTTTGTCATCTCATCTTTTATAATTTTTTTTTCATTTTTAAATGTGATTTTAACTTATTGAATAGTTAATATAGTCATAGTTCAAAATTCTAAAAGTATAAAAAGGTAAAAGCTTAAAAAGTCTCCCTTCTACCACTGTCCTGGCTGTCTGTCTCCTCGCCTCTGAAAAAGTCCATGATACTCATTTCTTTACAGAGATTTTTAGTGCCTATTCAAATTTCTATGCATATCATTTTTCATTAATTTCCTATAGAAATGATACAATGTTATATACCTTACTCTTTTTTATTGACTGGATTGGAAGGTTATAGTAACATCAGAGCATAATATTTTTCCTTTTTATCATTTTTTCTTTTCCATTATGCTGTAGTCTTTCCTGAACTGAAGTAACCCAAGTGAAATGGATTCTAGTATTGAAGATGCCACCCACTTATTATTCTGATATCAAAAATGACAGTGGAGGGTGTCATCAAGCTTGGGAACATCTCCCTAAAATGAGGTAAGACCTGTGTGGTGGTCTTACTAAACTGGTTGTTGAGTAACACTCTAAAAAGTTGAGCTTTTTAGAATCCTAGTTTTTTTAATCTAAAAAGTAGAAATGGTAAGATTGTCTTCTTTCTACCTAAAAGGGAGATGGTAAGGAAAAACTTTGTTTTTCCAAATTTTGTCATATAGACAGCTTTCACTGTACATTTTAATTAGGATAAAGTCTTTTTGTCTCCTCTAAAGACTGATACATTTTGTCTTAGGAGATAGAGCATGCTTTTTATACTGACTGAAAACTTCCTAGTTTCACATAGATTCTGCCACCCTAACAAACTTAGGCTATGAGAGATAGCCTAGCGTGAAAAGTTATATCATTCATTAATTTGTATTGTTGTTAAGTCTTCATGGAAGATCTAGTGTTCCACAATATTCAGGCAAGGGAGGTCACCATATTTAAATCCTGACTAGGGCCCTTTGCACTCTTGACCAGCCTTCAGAACATGTTATGTGCTTTTAGGAGATAGTTTGTAAATGTCCTAGATTTTTCTTATTTATTTTTGTCTCACTATCCCTTCAAATTCTTTGTTAAGGAAACATTATTAAATGTGTATTCATAATGCTCTCCACAACACTGAAAGAATTTGAAGATAAATGAATAACGGTCTCTCTACTCTCCTAACAGTCTCTGTTCTCTCTAGGAGTAGTCTAAAAGCTCAAACACTCCAGAACTGGTGGTCTGAGTGTTTTAAATTTCCTTAAAGTTCTGTTTGACATAGAAAGTATTGTTAACTAGATGGAAGGTGTTTACCATTGCTTTGCATAGATCCTTTGTGCTGCAGTTTTTATAAAGCTGTTAGCTCTGCCCCGAACAACTTCAGTCACAGCCATGCTTCGATGGGGTGTGTACCTTTTCCCTTGGATCTTTGGGGGACTCTTTTTTTCCTAAGCATATATGTGTTTTAGGAGAAAGGGGGATGTGAAACTTGCCACCTCCCTTTCTTTAATGAATGAGAACTCTGCCTGCATTTTGACCTGGGGCTTTAGGTGGTGGCAAGGAAGAAGTAGCCTAACCTTTGGCCATAATCTCACAGTTGTCCATTGCCTAGCAGCACATTTGAAGTGGCATACTGCCTTTCCTTTCTTTAGCCGTAAAGTTCTTTCTGCCCAAAACTTTCCTCCTTTCTTCCTAAGTGGACAACTGAAATCTTGCAGGCGGTCACCCTAGTGGGAGTCTACCTTTGCTTCTTTGAATGATCATAATCCAGATGCCTTAAGAGATCAAAGCACATTGTGATGTTGGTACAGTGTTCTCCTCCCAAGTTTACAAGAATGATTGTATAACTTGCTTTTGAACATGCTTGCTCTTTTGTCAGGCTGTTATCAATTGTGAATTCACAAATATGATGCTGTGGAGTCACTTTGCTTACCTTTATAAGAGGTTGATATGGAGTAAGCAGACTTACTGGAAGTTACTTTATTGCTCTAAATCATGGAATTACTTCATGGCAAATAGATGGGGAAACAGTGGAGACAGACTTTATTTTGGGGGGCTCCAAAATCACTGCAGATGGTGACTGCAGCCATGAAATTAAGATACTTACTCCTTGGAAGAAAAGTTATGAACAACTAGACAGCATATTAAAAAGCAGAGACATTACTTTGCCAACAAAGGTCCGTCTAGTCAAGGCTATGGTTTTTCCAGTAGTCATGTATGGATGTGAGAGTTGGACCATCAAGAAAGCTGAGTGCCGAGGAATTGATGCTTTTGAACTGTGGTGTTGGAAAAGACTCTTGTGAGTCCCTTGGACTGCAAGGAGATCAAGCCAGTGAATCCTAAAGGAAATCAGTCCTGAATATTCATTAGAAGGACTGATGCTGAAACTCCAATACTTTAGCTACCTGATGCGAAGAGCTGACTCATTTGAAAAGACCCTGATGCTGGGAAAGACTGAAGACGGGAGGAGAAGGGGATGACAGAGGATGAGATGGTTGGATGGCATCACTGACTCAATGGACATGAGTTTGGGTAAACTCCAGGAGCTGGCAATGGACAGGGAGGCCTGGCGTGCTGAGGTCCATGGGGCTGCAAAGAGTTGGACACGACTGAGAGACTGAACTGAAACCATGGGATTGAGTGCCACTCAAATTTCTCTATCACTGTATAAGTTAGCCTCCCATTTGGTGTGATCACTTCTTTAAAATGGAGTCTTGGTTTTATTAATAAACTGCAAGGAGATCCAACCAGTCTATCCTAAAGGAGATCAGTCCTGGGTGTTCATTGGAAGGACTCATGTTGAAGATGAAACTCCAATACTTTGGCCACCTGATGTGAAGAGCTGACTCATTTGAAAAGACCCTGATGTTGAGAAAGACTGAGGGCAGGAGGACAAGGGGATGACGGAGGATGAGATGGCTGGATGGCATCACCGACTCAATGGACATGGGTTTGGGTGGACTCCGGGAGTTGGTGATGGACAGGGAGGCCTGGCGTGCTGTGGTTCATTGGGTCACAAAGAGTTGGATACAACTGAGCGACTGAACTGAAGTGAAAGATGCCATCAAAAAACCACAAACTATTAGAACTACTAAATGAATTCAGTAACACTGTAGCATACAAGTTAATATATAGGAATCTGTTGCATAGATTTCTACATCTGGTAACAAACTCAAGATTTTTTTTAAAATTCCATTTACTCTTGCATCAAAAAGAATAAAATACCTAGGAATTAATCTAACCAAGGATATAAAATATCTCTACTTAGAAAAGTATAAGATAATGATGAAAGAAATTGAAGATGATACAGCAAATAGAATGGCATACCATGCTCATGGATTGGAAGAATTAATGTCAAAATAACCATACTACCCAGAGCAATCTACAGATTCAGTGCAATCCCTATCAAATACCAATGGCATTTTGTCTAATTTTCAGAGAATCAGACAAATAATTTTAAAATCTATATGGTAACACAAAAGACCTCAAATAGCCAAAATTATTTTGGAAAGAACAAGGCTGGAGAAGGCATTATGCTCTCTGATTTCAAACCACACTACAAAGCTACAGTGATAGAAAGTTTTATGGTACTGGAACAAAATAAGGGAGCCCAGAAGTGACCTCATATTTCTATGGTCAATTAATCTATAGCAAAGGAAGCAAGCATATACAGTGGGGAAAAGACAGCCTCTTCAAAAAATGGTGTTGGGAAAACAGGACCCCTACATGCAAAATAATTAAACTGCACTACCTTCTCATACCATATACCAACATCAACTCAAAATGGATTCAAAGTTTAATAACACCTGAAACCATAAAACCCCTAGAAGAAAACATAGGTAGTGTATTAACATTAGTCTTTCAAATATCTTTTGGTGGGGATATATGTCCTCAGACAAGAGAAACAAAAGTAAACATAAGTGTGACTACACCAAACTAAAAAGCTTTGGCACAGCAAAGGAAACTATTAACAAAATGAAAATTTCTACTGAATTGCGAGAAAATGTATGCTAACTGTAGCGAAAGATGGTGGAGTAGAAGGATGTGTACTCACCTCCTGTGAAAAATCACAACTAGCTGCGGAACAACCATCGAAAGGAGGATCTTGGAACCCACCAAAAAAAGATGCCCCATGTCCAAGAACAAAGGGCAGGAGGGGTGCAATCACATTTAAAATCAAACCTCCTACTTGCCAGACTCTTGGAGGGCACAAAGAAAGCGTTGTGTGCACCAGGACCAGGGAAAGGAGTGGTGACTGTCACAAGAGACTGGGTCAGACCTGCAGAGTCTGAGGGTCTCCTGTGGAGGCCGGGTCAGCGGTGGTCTGCCGCGGGGACAGGGGCACTGATGGCGGCAGCGCTGGGAGAAGGCATGGTGTGGGGCAGTAGTCCTCTGGAGGAAGGCGATGGGACGATCCACAAGCAGGAGATCAATTATACCAAAGACGTTCTCGCACTGCTGTGCAAGTCGTAGGCCCCACAAGACTTCCCAACCTGGGGGTCTGGCGAAAGGAATGGGGATCCCCCGGGAATTTGGCTTTGCAGTTCAGCTGGATTTGATCGAACAACTTCTACAGGCCTGGAGAACAGAGACTGTTGGGAGGGCACAAAACCACGTGCACACGAGAATCCAGGAGAAAGGAACCGTGACCCAGTAAGAGACTGAGGCAGACTTGCCTGTGTGTTTGGGAGGCTCTGGAGCAGGCGTGGGTCGGCGACGGCCTGCCGCGGGGTCTGGGCACTGGCAGCTGCGGTCCCGGGAGGCGAGGAGTGCCGGCCTAAGTTCTCTTGAAGGAGGTCACCATCACCCCTGGACGGAGCCCATAGCCTGCCAGAGACTGCGAGCTCCAGGACTGGGCTGCCTCAGGCCAAACTACAGGCAGCACGGCCCCACCCATCACAGAAAACCGGATTAAAGACCTACTGAGCACGGCCCCGCCCACCAGAGCGAGACCCAGGTTTCCCGATTGCTCTGA